AAGTAATTGACAATATGTACTGCTACAATTGTGTATAATGTACAATAGTTAGCCTTAATAATGTATACTAATACATAAATCTGAAGAGTTTATAAGCTTGTACCCTTCATACACTTCAGAACCCAATGAAAATCCATATGGTTAAAAAAAATAAAATTATTTGGTGCAGAACGTTCATTCAGAAGGACGAGTACTTTTTGACATTAAACTATAACCCAAACGAATAGAACAGTAATCATTAATGTCAATCAATCTGGAAAACTAATTTTTTCTAGACCCAATAATACTTTATTAAAATTTTCAGAAATTAACTTTGTGGGATAGAATATTTTGTTCTGCGTATATAGCATGCACAATAAGGGAGTTATGAGGGGTTGAAATTTACGAAAATCTATATGTGCTGAATCGATTGTGTAGTGATGGAGCCCATCAGTTCTTTTGTGTCGGTCCAGTTAGTAAGCGGTCCTCAATCTGGTCTAAGGATCTGTCTATCTGCTTGACAGTGGCCATTCCGTCGGAGTTAGTATCCTAAATAGTTGATTAGTTGAGTATAGCACAGGCCACTATTTTGCGTACAGCACCTAATTACACTAACAAAATCTTTTCTGAAGATATCATTGGTGCAAACTAAATATAACGAAAAGGTATACATTTTAAGCATGTTAGAGTGTACTTGGGGTATTTTTTATTTAACTTGGGGTACTCATCTCTTCTTTGCCTTTTCGGCTATAAGTTTTTTTTCTCGTGGGCAAGAGAGAGAGTGCGGTGGATTAAGGCCAGAATTAAATGCTCCCGATGTCGTGATTCAAACTCCTAATCTTCGGTTTATGAGGTTGGTGGACTAGGCATATTTTGTAGACGGGTTAGTCCACTCGGTGAACCTACCTCCTTCTCACTGGGGTGCACTACTTTGTAAATTATTTCATCAATGATAACATGTCCTCCCCCAACCACCATTTATTAACGATATCTCCACTATCTCCCATATTTATTTTACTCAATTTTACTTTACTTGTATGATTTCTAATCCTTTGAAACCATAGTTCACTGATAAAGTCCTTAACAAGAAAGAGTGGGGTGGACTAATGCAAGAGTTAAATGCCCCCGGAGATTCGAACTCGTAATCTACAGTTTATCACATTACCAAATGACGCGTGTTTTGCAACACGTTAGCCCTGGCTAAGCCACTGGATCCTCAAAATATATGTTAGAATCAACTTAAAAGAAAAATGTTTTTTTCCGACGGATAATTGTATGTTGCTTTGTTTGCATCAGATTGTGGAGAAAACCAATATATTCTTTCATCACATATAGAAAGAACTATAAATAACGTTTACCCTTAAGTACTATAAATTTAAAAAGTTTAATTCAAATTCCATAAGAAATACTTTGATGACATAATGCCAATCAATCTGAAGAAATTTTCTGTAAATTCTTCTTTCAGTGATTAGTTTTTTTCCATTAAAATTTATTCAATCACTGAGATGCACTAAGTCATGCGTATACACATGTATATGAAATCTAATCGTATACACCAAATTTAATTGCAGATTAAAATGCATAGCACAGATAAAAATAGATTGTTTTCGAATAGGAAACACATACCTCTTAAGTTACATCATACATAAAGGTTTGAAATGTATTGTAAATGTCTATCTTCATTTGGATTAGATCTTTAACATTGACATGAATTTAATAATAATGATTAATAATTATTGATTAATAAGAATTAATTATTATTTATAAATTATGTATGAAAGCAAACACATAAAAAGAAAAAAGACCAATAGTATTAAGAAATTACTGATGAATTCTAAAGCAAAGCATTTTTAATATCAGTAAATACTTAAATAGTCAATATTTCGTCAGTAGTGGTATCGTCAGTGTATCAAAAGGAAATATTACTTAAAATAGATATAATTACATCAATATTAAAAATATATACTACATAACTAACTAGAGAGAAGACTACTTCAAGAAAGTTAGACTGGGAATGATTGCAGGATTGATATTTTTTTCTGTTTTGATTTTAGGGTGACAGAGTGTTTAATTTTTTTTTTTTTTTTTTTTGTTTTATCTACAGGTAATTGCGTTGTAATGGCGGAGTGGTCGAGCGGTCCGGCAACCCCGATCATAGACAATTTGATAAAAATGGTTACGAGTTCGCATCCCAGTGCCCGGAGAGGCTTTTAACACGGGCATTAATTCCCCGCCCTTACCCCCTGGCTATTTAATTTCAATTCGTTGTCATTTTTATTCGAATATAAATTAAAATTTATAATTAGTAGAACAATATAGTCTTAAAATACACATTGAACTTAAAAACACAATATTTATTTACCAATATTGCATAGTATTAGTCTCAATCAGTCATGGAAAATAATCCTAACCGACAGTAATGTATCCTTTATTGTGACGTCATATTCCTAAGTCCGGTGATTGGATTCAATTTTTAATATTAACAAAATATATGATTCGAATTTGATATGATAATTATTGGACACACTAAAGCCACTTTTACTCTCGTGAACATAATGTAGTGATTACGTAAATAAAAAATTATATAAAAGAAGACTTTTTAGCTCATGGTAACACATTTTCGTATTCATTTAAAAAAATATTTTTAAAGATCTTCCGCTAGCCTGAACATAGGGATATATATATATATATATATATATATATATATATATATATATATATATATATATATATATATATATATATATATATATATATATATATATTACTAGGAAAATAAAGTACGCCCCAGTACTTTAAAAAAAATAAAGGAAACAAGGTAAATAAAACATCGTTTCACAGTAGAAATCAAAACCACCTTAAACTTGCAGAGAACAATAAAGGGGTTTTCAAAATAAATAGAAAAATACAATATTTTACTGAAAATATTCAGCATAGTCAAATAACCCGATTTTCCTTATTTTTATTGATTAATTCAAGATATAACGAGAATATTTTTTATATATAAGAAGAAAAACGCGTGTTCCTCTCTTATGAATAATAAAATTGATATATGAAATAAACTTGATTCCCTCCGAGAACTTTTCATTTTCGAAAGGATTTAAAACCAAGGACTCGAATAAAATTTGAATGTTATGTGAGTTTCCTAATCACTAATTAAAACATTAAGAAGATTGTTGCAGATTACAAATTCGTCTTCTTTAACCCTGACCTTTTAACTGAAAACAAAAATTTTAATTGGTCAACATATACTGGATTCTGAAATATATGTTAATGGCGGTCCTTTCTAATATGTACCAAAGTGATTTTTGACGATTATAGTCCCAGATATTTTTTTTTTTATAATCACAAATGAAATTTTAGAAGGGAAATAAGTATGATTATAATCTTATGATCTTAGTATTTTTAAAGGAATTTTTGAAATTTCAGCTTGTGCTTGCTGTAATTAATTGAATTTATTTATTTTTAATAAAATAAAATATAAAATAGCTTTACAAATTAGGGACCATAATTAAAAAATGTATAACGTATCCGCATCCGTGAGGTAATTTTGTCCCATGGTGACGAAAAGTTTAAAGAAAAAAGGTTAATTTTTTCTTTAATTAGAAATGCCTTTGCTTTATCAGGTTGTGATAGGAGCATTGAATCGTTATACAAGTTTTTTTTTTTAACCTTATCCGTTTAGATACGAAGGTTATTTTTAAAAGGTGGTACCACGTGGCTTATGCTCACTGGATAAACGTGGTGAATTTCACCACAAAAGAGGCAATTGGTTCAGTAAGTTTTCTATATATTTTACTCGATGTTTATCTCTAGTTTAGAATCGCTGTTTGTACTTGGTTCAAAATTAGAGGATCATTATGAAAATTAATTAAAAGTAATTTCGTGTTTAACGAAACGGGCATAACTATGCCCCATTAACAACTGAGTAACAAAATCACCTCATCCAGTAAAACTGAAATTTTGCACAATTTAAGCTGAATATTTCAGTCCTGCTTTTCATTAAAAATTGACATTTGTTGCTATTGTTAATTTTAGACAAAACTATTCTCACGATATATGAACGAAGTGGAAGATAAAGCCAAAGAGAAGATTATGAGATAACTCCGATGAAAAAATGTGTGCACCTTCTAGATATCACAGCTTTGAGTAATTTTAGCCAGGGTGCCAAAAAACAAAAAAAAAAAAAAAAGAAATATATTTTAAAGAAGACGAGATAAGAAGCTGAAATTGATTGGTTGATAAACAACGGAATCAAAGAACTTATTTTAATTCAAAGAACAGAAGAGTTTTAGTATGATGGGGAAAAACTTTAGGGTGAAATTATTTCACTGATCCCGGTAAAGAACTACCGATTAAGTTTATTCACACATCTTTGCGAGTAAATTTTTCTAATCATTCAAGAAGATTTAAATAGGAATAATTACAAAAAAAAAAAGACTTTTTAAAAAATCTGATATTCTTAATTCACACCTCTCAATAGATATATTAAGAACCATTGAAATGAAATAATGAATCTGTAACATAATGGGTCTCACTTCAATCTGTCTTCCGAAACGAGCCCAATGTCTCATGTTAGATCAAACTATTATTAAATTAATATATATATATATATATATGTATGTATATATATATATATATATATATATATATATATATATATATATATATATATATATATATATATATATATATATATATATATATATATATATATATATATATATATATGACAGAACCTACTTAATCTTTCGAAACTAAGTGAAATGAGTGTGCATGAGTTAAACATTCATAGTGAAAAATGTAGAATGAAACCGTCCACCTATAACGTCATGCCACGCAGTCTTGAAAGGGGTGACAACGCGTAATGATCCGTGATAAGGAATCTACTTCTATTTTAAGATTTCAGAAAAAAATCTTTATAGTTGCAACATGGCAGAGGGGACGAGAAGTGGCGCTGAATGTGATTAGGGACAATACAAAGGAGAAGGATAACAAAAATGATCAAACATGGCGTGACATTATAAGCGAATCACTCCTTTTGGATCATTGTGAAAGATAGGATATGTATTGTCATCATTACCTGTATGCGTCCTCTTGTGCGCCTTAAGATGGGAGCTCTTGGTGTACACTTTATCACAGCCAGGTACGTCGCATCGGTGGACTTTTCTTCTCCTTAGGCTGTCTGCATATTCCCTGTTCACCAGTTCTATATATCGTTTATGCTTTGATATTTGATTAATAACATATTTAAAAATAAAAGTACTAAATTAATTTATTATTTATTAAAATTTATGGTTGTCTTTGGGTTTATTACAATCAATAACTATCGTTAAAAACTGTAATATTAACTTGTGGATGAATGAAATAGAAATAGTAACTGTTATTTATATCTTACTGTTAAATGCTGTGCAAAAAAAAAAAAGAGGAATGTTCAATAAAGTCAACTGAGTAATCAATAAACGCAACAAATATGGATTTTTACAGTACTAAGTTTTTACAGTACTAAGTTTTTACAGTAAGAAGTTTTAGTGCAAGTTGGTGCGAATGACCCTCGTCTTCTTAATCTTGTTTCAAATATATCAGGCATCGACAAAAAATGGCCACAGTGGAACAATTTGAACCATGAAGAGTGAATTACAGGTTTTCTCAGACCATTTATCCTAAGAGGAGATAATGGTGTTCGACCTGAATAAGGATGACAGCCAGAATGGACATATCCCGTATTTTACTGCTGGTTATGCATTGTGCAACTGAGGAACGTATCTCCATGGCTGTGCTGCGGACGGAAGTCAACTGCCAAACAGTTGACAAAGTCTTTAGAACACACAAGACCTCATTAAACTAACTTTGCAACATAATTCGATACAGTGATTAGTCATTAGAATATTGGATCTTCAATTAATTTTTTTTAAATTCAAATTTATTTCACAAATATGTTTATACTTTGATTTAGATTGGAATATTATAATTGTATGTATGTGATTTTACTAATTTCAAAAGTTAAAAAACAAAGCACAATTTATTTTAATTTTTCCTAATGTACATACAAAGAAACGAAATTATATTCGGTGCAGAGTCTGCATGAGAAATTTGTAAATGTTTAGCAAGTTAAAATGATAATGGCGATGTATATATATATATATAATTCTAAAACGTGTTATCCTCTTCTTCAGAGTATAATATGTCCCTATTTTTAATTGAAGTATTTGTGGATAAGTCCAATTAAGTTTGCTTCACGACTGACCAATCTGAAATAAAAAAATCATACTGAGATTTTTATTTTATTTTTTTATCCTAGCACCGAAAAAAAAATGATTGAAAGAAAACTCAATATTTACATCGTAGGACTTGATCCCCTTGATTTCCAACCTATCGAATTGGTTACTGCATTGGAAATATTTTTGTATCTTAGTAACATAAGCTTAATAAAAATGAAACATATAGAAAAAAAGTTCAGCAAGAATCAGTAGATTATCCAGAATTAATTTGGGAAGGACTATTTTTATTTTTATTTTTTGGAATTACACTGGAAGGAAAAAAAAAAATGACTGTTCGAAATGATGTTTATGTGGCACTTCAAGATAAAAAAAAAAAAAACGAATTACGAGAAAAATAATGCTTTTAGAAAAAATTGTATGGCACGTGCTTGCATTTAGTGGCTGTATATACTTTTTAATTTAGAAATAAATTATAATGTGATTGTTTAATAAATAGGCACTTATTAAAAGACAATACATTTGGATAGAGGGGGACTACAGCCAGAAATTCCCCTCCATAGATCCGCTAATGATAATAATTATTAAAAACGTCAAGAACAATTTTTCATGACAATGTCAGTTATAAATTTCATGATCCTGAGCACTATGAAAAAAAAATTATTACAACTGTTATGAACGATATTAAAAAAAAAATGAGAATATTTAAAACTAAAATATATAACCAAACATAAAAAAAGTAACCTTATGGATAAGACTGACATAATTTGTTTATCACTCTCCTCTCCGTGGAGTGTCAGAAACCGGGGGGCAGGCAAACGAGATGTTGAGCCCATCTGCCTAAAATGTGACCGAGACCGAGAGAGTCAAGAAACCCAGTTGCTAGTTATCCGTCAGCACAATAGTCTAATTTCTTCAGATGAAAAAATTTATATATTTTCTAGTTCTAGTATTTTCTAAATGCATATAAAGGAAATTTTAGCATTTAAAGCGGTCTACTACGAGGGGAGATCTACTACCATTATTACCCGAAGTGAACCCCAAAACCATAAATTGAAACAAACGAAACATATTAATACCTAAATATGTATGTAAAGAAGGAGGAAATTTCTAAAAAAGTATTTCGAATTTGAAGTAAAAGTATGGAGCATTTTGGTTAGGAAAAATAGTACCTCTTTCAATGAGTAATTTTTTGGACAAGCTCAGTATTGAAAGGAACTAGCTACAGAGGTTTTATTTTGGAATTGCTTGGAGTCCTTCATCACCACCTATTATTATTCCTGGCCTTTGCTTTGTAAATTCGATGGATGAAATTGGAGAGTGGAGACACAACAACATTCGGTATTGATGATTTCTCGTTGTTTTTTCTCCTCAAATGTTATCTTATAGACCGATGAGTAAGGCGTGTCAATTAGCAACTCAACACAGCCGAACATTGTTACAAATTTACTGCAGTTCTCTCTTTAACAATCTCTATGTAAAAAGTAAACAAGTGAGACGTGGAACATGAAAACACTTGCCTGACGTGGATCCGTCACATAAAAAGGTAGATAAAGATCCGAAAGAGGCATTGATTGTGAGCAATCTAGTTCCAATAGCCAAAGATACGATCTCCTTCGCAGATAATTTAACTCCTGCCTCAGATCAGATAATAAATCACACAAACCTCAATTGACAACTCTTCTATAACATTAATCTATTCCAATCTCATTTTTTATTCATAATTCTCAGCATAATTCATTATTGCCCTTTCAGTGCTGTTAAATAACCGCTATTAAACAGCCGTATAAATGCATATTGAGGACTGAAAAAAGACATAATAAATTATTAACGAGTTTCCTGCTTTTAACTGTATCCGATATAGAGACCGTTTTATTCGAATTTTCTTTCATAAGGCTAAGTTTGTATAATTTTGACGAGCTCATTCGGAAAATAAACTAAATTAATTCTTTACCCCGAAGATGAATGACTATATCTCAAACTTTTATTCAGGGGAGCAAACATTTCATAACTTTGAGCTATTAAAATTTGTTTCTCATTTACTGTATCTGTGCCCTGAAGGTAAAGGACACCATGTCACATTTTTGTATTTGTTCAGGATAGACAATTTTTCGTAAACTCGAGCAGTTCAAATTTGTTTCTTAGTTACTAAATTATTTAATAAAAAAACGGGCATGGTATCATGTAGCTCCAGTGGTAACGAAATATATATTCATGTTCAATGAAAATCTGAATTAATAAATTACCGGAAACAATTTATAAGAACGAAAATAATTATATAACCTGATTCCAACTAAGGAATTGGCTTCTGAATAACTAATAAATATTTATTCTGACAAACATAAAAATGAAAACAAGACAAATATTAAATTAGTGAATTTTTTATTAAAATAAAAAAAAAGTTTTGAACCTTAGATTTGAGGAATTTATAAAAAATTATACAAATGGAAAGCTACAACATTTCAATTTAAAAAAGAAAATATATTTTTCCTAAGCTATTTTCTTGAATTACAGCTTAAACGTGTAAACTGAGAGAGTTCAAGATTTTCATCGCTCTATTCTTAGGTATTTAGAGCAGCAATTAGTATTGTATTTTTTTTTTTAATTTTTAATAATTACCAACGATACCGTATCGATATAATCGAAGGTTTTTTTTCGTTTGAAATATTTTCCGGAGACAAGTGTTATAGATTAAAAAAAAAAAAGTGATATAGTGATTTTTTTTATATTTCGTTAATGAAAGAACCATGAAATATTAACAAGGATTAAATATAGACATACATCGAATCAAATTGTTTAAATATATCTTATCATTCGTTAAAAAATGTATGTACATATCTGTTTTTTTTTTCTTCATCTCCTAAGATTAAGTCGACATTCTTTCCATTCCTCTCAACTTTAAACTAACATCTAGATATCCAGATATTTTAATTTGAAGTTGAGTCATTAGCTAATTGTCGGGGATAGAATTAAACTATTTCGAAAGCCTTCATCAAATAAAAATTTCCACTTCTGAACTATGGAATACAGGTTTTGCTATTTTTTTTTTTTTTTTAGATATAATGAAAACAACGGAAAATTTATCCTTGTAATGTGATCATCTTAAAATGGAGAATTAAAATTTATAGATAAGCATTATATTATATCTAATTAACAGTTACCCGTTGCTTTCTTTCTTCCAGTGGAGAGAGATAGGGGTGGTGGGTGAACCTTTTCCAGCAGATTCTGGCCAGGTGTCCATACTGCCCGTTGAATCTGCAACAAATAATTTAAAAATCATACAAACATGAAGGAATTTTCTTAATTATATAAAAACTATTTAAATACAAGTAAAAAAAAATAGGCAGGTTTTAGTTGGCAATGACAATAATAAAGCTGGTTCAAAATCATCATGGTTTTAATTTTCGACAAACAATGACAGAAATTGGCATTAATATTAAGAACAAATATTATTTTAGTTTGGACCTCTGCTAATCACGATGTCTTGTGTAAATTTTAATTACTTATGATAGTAAGAAAGTAATTTTTCTTGATTAACGGTTGTTTAAGGTAATATACAGTATATCCATTTGTAGAAAGAAGTTTTTTTTTTTTTTTTTTTAAACCTAAGGGTCCAGCATAAACCATAATTGCCTGGGTTATTTTAAATTCCAATTGCTCGAGCCCACTTCTTAGAGTTTTAAATCAGGAATGAAGGTTTATTCGAAATTACTTAAATTTTACCAGATTACAGTTTAAACTAAAATTTCCAACAGATATAAAATTATTCATATAAAATGCATTCATGTATGTAGTATGAAAAAATTCTGAACGTCTACAAATATATTGAGAAGAATCGGATTCGCCTTTATTATTCATTTGTTGGTAATCATTTTTTAATTATTGCATATAAGCATGCGTGTGTTTAAATAGTTATTTTGATTAGTATAGTTTATTTTTTATTTACTTCAGCACTTACTAGACAAACGCTCTAAACTTCAAATTAATTACAAAAGACTCATATACTTGACTATAATAAGGCTTATTTGGACTTACGGAGTTGAGCTATGGGGCTCCACTAAACCATCGAATTCCTCTCGTATCCAATCCAAAATCCTTCGTAAAATCCTCAATGCTCCCTACTTTCTTAGAAATAAAACCATCAATAATGACCTTAATGTTTCTTTTGTTTCAGATCTGGCCCAATCCAGATACCTATCCTTCCATAATAAACTTCAGAATCATTCCAACCCTCTAGTTTCTAACCTCGCTTCCTCTTCAATTTCTGATAACCCTCCGAGGCGTCTGAAAAGAAGATGGCCCTGTGATTTCCTACCATTGGGTAGTTACTCAGCAAGTGTTTTTCATGTCATTATATACATTATGTTCAAATTTACTAGATGTATTTATTTAATACAGTTGTAAATGTCTTTAAGAAATAAAAAAAAAAAAATTATTAGGTTAGTTTATTTTTGTTTAGTTTAGTTTCTTTTACTTTATATACATTTACTTTTAGTTTATATACATTTACTTATAGTATTACTTTGCTGATTATTTATTGTACATAGAATGTTAATAAGCTACTCTTCTATCACTATTATTATTGCCCTTAGATGTAAGAGATTGTAATATTTCTCAATAAAGAATTGAATAAAAAATTTTTAGGTAAACAAATGAAAAAAAAAATAATTTAAATAAAATATAGGTATGAAAATATTAATGTCCTCTATAAGAAAACATAAAGTAAACTGAAAAATACTCGTTTACTTTTGTTTAAATACATAGTTAATATTCTAGCAATAATGATAATCTATCTAAAACGACTCAACCCTGTTAAAATTAGAATCAGACCAACGATTCGATTAATTTAATTTTTATTTGTTTGTGGTTGAAAAAAGTGAGACAACTTTTTCTTTTAAGGAAAATGAAGACATGAAGAAATACGAAATGAAGTTTTTCCTTTATAATAAATGCCAATTGTAAAATACAATAAGTTTGGGGCTGAGGTTATGAGAATGTAATATTCTTGTTAAAGTAATTCCTTATGATTAGCAGGTTGAAGTCATCGATGAACAGTCCAACAAAAAAAAAAATTAAAAAAATTCGCATTTAAATTAACTTTTTAAATAACCTTTTTATTGGAATAATAATAATAAAATCTGCCACAATGAAGGGCATTGGGCATTAAGCCTCTATGTGTGCATTTATATTATTATATACAAATTTAGAAAAAAGAAATAAAAAGAAACATCTAATTAAAATATATATATAATAAAATAATAACAAAAATATAAGATAGTTGTAAAAAGAAAAAAAAAATTCATCAAACTCATTCCTATATTAAATTAACTAGCGACTTTAACGCAACAATATGCAAGTTCCATTTCAAATTCCATCTCAAAGTGAGTTCTTCAGAGAAGTCATAACACCATGGTAGGTCACACGGTCACTGATTCCAAAATGAATTGAACAAGCGATCTCAATTTACCGTTGGGTTTGTATTAGATTTATTTTTTCTCTTTTTTTTTTTGTTATCGAGACCACTATCCCAAAATGAAAATTATTGAAAAAAAAATCATTCTGTTAGCCGCAGGGTAAGGTAGAATGAATACGTTCTGCCGAATTGAATATCTACGGAGTATACTGAGGGAGCTAAAGAACAAATTTCAAAGAAACCTATAAACACAGAACATTAAATGGCCGTCGTTACGACTCACTAACGGAAACGGGTGTAATAAACATGAATCCTTCTATTCACTGCTTACACAAATGAATATTGTTTCCAGAAATGAAAGACTTCTTCATGACAATAACGAATGCTACCATGAATTGCTATAAAATTCATCAATGAGGAAGGAGAGACTTATTTCTTGTGAGAAAATTTTGAATTATGTGGGATCTATGTAGTATATATCTGTTTCCTATGCTTATTTCATTGTATAGGGCTGATTAGTACGGTATATTTAAAGAGGGCCATTAAATTATCCAGAATTATTTCACAATAAATATTTGTTTATAATTTATTTGAATCGACATTTGAAAGCAAGCAGGTATACAGTTCGAAACAATCCATCTTGAATCCTCTACACAATAATTAATGCCTCAATAGAAGGCAAAATACCACGTGGAAGTTCAAAAACCAGATGGATAGATAAAACCAACAAAGATGCAATAAAGTAAATGCAGCTAACAGGAAAGAAATAGCCTAAGATAGGCAGAGATGGGGAAGGATGATTAAGGCGGCAAAAAATCTAAAAGGTCTGTAATCCTGACGAAAAGTTTTTATAATTTATAATTTTCAATACTTTAAATTTTGAAATTTTCAATAATTTTTCGAGTTTCAAGCATCATAAGAAATTTAAAAGAAGCGTATATGGTTCCAGAGATTAATACTATTATATATCCTTTAGTGCTCATTTTTCTTTTAGATGTAGTTATTTATTGGCGGTGATAAAAAGGGCAAAACCCATAAACTCAGGTCTGCTTGTATTCGTAGAGTTTAAAAAACAAAAAAAAAAGGTTTTCTAAATTTGTCAAGATGTACTTACTTAACTAGCGTCCGTTCTTTTTAAAATAGTTTTTAAGACCAATATAGTGTTTTTTAAATTTTTTTTTCAACTAAATTTGGCTATTTATTTAGAGAAAAAATTCTGTTTTTCTATATGATATCTTCAAGGTATATGCAAGCCCTTATACTTCCAAATTATTTATTCAACTTCCAACGACGTTTCGAGCTGATTAGCTCATTATCAAGTCATCTACAAATACAATTAAACAAAAACAATTTACTGCTATGAACGCTCATTATCTGGTCATATAAAAGGTGAAAAATTATCAAAAAACATTTTGTTTTTGCTTTTACATGTAAAATTATCTGATTAATTGAATAATATTGAACATATTCGCTACCGAAGTGCGGTTCGTAATTAGAATAGAGCGTAATATTTGAAATTGATACGATTTGCCAATCATAGGTTTAATTGAGTGTGATATGGCGGGCGGGGTTTCCAAGCGGGATAACCAGTTTGCTATAAACGCGTTGCTTGCTAACCTGATAACCTGGTGATAACGAGTTCGAGTAGCTGTGCTGGGGACATTTAACTCTGGCATAAATCCCCCGTCCTCTCCCCTGGGCCTAGGAAAAATTCGTATAGCCAAAAAGACGAGGAATATGAAGGTGATAAAAAATTCATTTTCCTCCTTAATGTTCAATATTACGACAAATTCGATATAAGGAAAATAGTTGAAGTTTCGATTAAAGCATAATTATGATTTTTCATAAAAGGTCCAGGAGGAATTAATAAAACACTACTTATGCAACATCATCTGACAATATTTTGTATTCAACAAACTACAATGAATTGTGTGTATAAAATAAAATATATTGAAATATAATTCCTTAACTTAAAATTTAAAATATTAGGGAAATAAAAAAAAAAAAGTTGATGCTTATGTAGCAAAATCCTATAGTTCACAGAGAAAAAACAAAAAATCTGTAACTGTTTGAAAAAAAAAATAAGAAATCCAAAAATGGATCAGGGATGATATTGTTAAAGTTAATTTAAATTTTGATTAAAGTTATCAGATTTTATCATTTTGATTGGAAATTATTTAAAACGATGCTCAATGTGTTGGGCCTATTTATTTTTCTAATTATATAATAAATATATAATTTATTTTTCTTTAGTTTATTTTTTCAAGTAGTGTGATTGAAATATATAAAAGAGATTTTGGATTTCTGGAGTATAGAATACTTAATTTAATATATAGCTAAGAAGGACGAAATAGCAATTAGATATTAATAAAGGGTTTAGTAAATCAATGTGAATTGATCAAGTTCTAAATTAATTTTCTTGTTGATTTGAACTATTTCCTGTACCCATGAAACTTTGTGAAAACTATAATGTTTTTGACTTGACGAAGTACCCGAATATGGCAAGGTAATGATTTTATTTTTAGGTAGTTGCAGATGATTTAAAAAATAATGAATAGCTAAGGTCAAGTTCGTGCTGTGTGGCCTTAGTGGGGGAAAGGAAAAGTTGTTTTCCGGTTGCGATCCGCATCCGTGTGACTGGGAGAAACCAAAACTGTAGGATCTTGCCATATTTGGAAAAATATATAAGATTTATAGTTGTCGGGTAATTGCCTCTTTTTTTCTTTACAGTACTAAAAAGACGTACTCATTAAATATAGCTCCTTTAATGCAATAATAAGTTCAATTTTCTGAGGTTAACTGCATTTATGCCCTCGGGCAGTGGAAGGAATTTGTTACCTGTATATATTGTATTGTTATGTAATTTAATACTATATATGTAAATTGATTAAATAAACATTTTGGGGGGTTAGAAAAAAAAAAAAAGTTAACTGCGTATCTTAGAAATTCTATGTAATTAAAAAAAAAAGGAAGAAAACCTTCTACTTTTATATATTTATTTCTATTTAATTATTTGATAAAAACTTTTCTTTTATTTGTTTTTTTAATAATGTATACCATCAATTTTTTTTCTTATTTATAATTTTTTTGTTAAGTATCCCTATACTGCTTTCATACCAGCCCATGATCCATACCGGTGAATCCAGTATTCGTATGAATAGTTCAAGTTATAGGTTTTTCGTCATATTTGCGATTATTTTTAATGGCTGTGATGAGCAATCATTCCTTATTCCAAACATAATTTTTCTGAATCGTGTCTTTATATAATTGCAGTAATTGGCGGACAACTAAATGCATTGGAATAATAAAACATTACGCAATATATTTTTCTGTAATTAATCACTTTATAAGTTATTTATAATTTATAATAAACGTTTGGTGAGAGATGAAAAAAGGGTATGTCAGTAATCTCTGTTTGGATTCCAGCTTACTGCGATATTTTATGAAAAGAAAAAGCTGAACCATGCAACCCGTTTGGCTTGAATTGTAGCATAAACGGGGTGTCTATATTGAAAGAGGTCACATTAGAAGATTGGGTATACCACACAATGAAAAGACTACTAGCAGAATGGGAGAAAGAATAAAAAAACAAAACAAAAAAAGATTGAAAACTGGCAAAGTTAAACCTAATTGTGGTTAATGGCTCACTAGCTCCAGAAGTTCGAGGAGAAGTTATGCTGTTCAGATTTGGAATTTGACAATACCAGTTTAAACATTGAAAAATGCAAAAGTAAATCTCAAACTGTGAAACATCTACTGGAAGGACACTTCTAAATTGAAAAAAAAAGAGAAAAAATAGGCTTAACAAAAACATTAATAGAAATTCTGCTGGATAGTGAAGAGCGAGTCTCTAATGTTGTTAACTTTTTCTAGTTTATAAAGTACTATAACATCATATAAACTTTAGAAAACGCCAATGGCCCTTTAGTGTAGAAAGATACGAGAAAGAAAAAAAATACCATTAAAACGAGAAAATGTGAGCAATGTAATCGATAAAATGCGAGTCGGGTAATTCTAATTTGAAGGAAACAAAACTTCTGGAAAAAACTAATTAACCTTATGTTATATGAATTTTATTTATTCGTTTTTTGGATAACTCTCATACAAAAATAGTTAACATCAAACCAATCTTATAATGAGTATGTATGGTAAAATTGTTTCTGTAGAACTCTCAACAGTGGGTTTATTTTTTTAACGTGTCACTGTAATATAATTTTTAATTATACGTTACTTTTTTTTCGGAATATTTTTGACTTCAGTTTATGAACATTTTTTTAAATTCAATTTAATATCAAAAATATATTATAATCTTGTTTAAAAAAAAAATTATAATAATTTTTGCATTTTATGATATTTTATATGATACTGTTCTATGGGTGAAAGTGACAGAAACGTGCTGATTGTGAAAAGTTTATATTTTTATCTCAACCAACACTACCAAAGGAACAATGTTTTTTTGGTGGGATGTTGACACCTGTTGAAGCTCAAGAAATTAAATATTTAATTAAAAAAATATTCCACACAGATATTGTGTATAGCTAAAAATGATAACGTCCAAAAATTGCAAAGTTTTCGATTAAAAAAAAAACTTACGATTGATATCGAATAAAACTGGTACGGTAAGTAGACCCTACATACTAATTTTCTTATAAATCAAATAACAATAAGGATTGAAATTCCTATCAATGCGAGAAAACTAAAAAGGATGGGAGATCTCCTGCCATGATCTAAGCTCTATAAATCAAGCTTAGCTAGATGTGCTGCTGGGTACTGCCTTTCTCCGTGTCTTTATCACATAATTTTCCGATGTAGTCACACTATTTCATTGGAGACAGAAAAATCATTTGTAAATATAATTTAATAGTATATTTTCATTATAAATAAATCATTTAAATACACACCATGAATAACATTCTTACATCATTAAAGTTAATTTGCAAAAAATTCACTATGATGATAGTGCTAATATAGGATTCTAACACTTCACATTAAGCTAAAGAGATTTTTGAATACTTAATATTTGGCCGTTCTATTATTAAGAAAGGAAATGGTCTGGGGTGTCGGTCATAAATATACTAAATAGTGGCAAAAATATTTTATAAAATAGTTCCACATCTCTTTATGTCCAATCTCTCCTGTAGATCTGTAGGAGTATATTCACAATTGCATAAATTATATTACATATTATTATAATTATTATTTACATACTACAACAATTGTTAGCATCTATTTTCTTCAGTTTAGGATCTTGTTACTTTGCTTAATCTGTTTATATAACTTATTGTTCTTAATGTTTTAATGTACTTACTGTTTATAATTTTAATAAGTTCATTCAAACTGTTTATAATCTTTTATTTAAATATTATGTAATTTCCAAAATTCTCTATATCTTTTTGTATCTTGTCCGTTCTAGCCCTGAAGAAGACCTGCAAAGTCGGGTCGAAACGTTGGCTTTTATCGAAATAGTTTAGTCTATTTATAAACGACATCACGGACCATCTCCTTCCTTCCAAAGAGATTTTCGTTTAAACCCGCTTACCCGGTTTGTAGATATTTTTTGAATTAGATAGATTGTTTATCGAGGAAGGCATCAAGTGTTGTAATATCGAAGTGCAAAATCTTTATAACAGATAGATTTATTTCATCTACATAATAACGTTTTGGCTTTAATGCCATTTTTAAACATTTAAAAAACAAACAACAGTCAAAGCAATGAATAAACAAGTATATATTATTTAGTTTCATGATAGTAATTGTTAAATTTATATTATGAAATTCAGTTGTTCTCTTATTCTTTCTCTATTACAATTGAATTTAACATAGCTCAAGCTACTGTCTGTTATGGGTAAATGCCTATTTTTGTGAGGAATAATGAAATTTTGGCTGAAAATCAAAGAAATTATTAGAAAAAATATTTTTATCAAAATGAGGAAAAAGAGTAAAAATAAGTGATATCTTATAGGAAAAATTATATTTTGTTGAAAATGATAATGGATAATGGTTTACTTTAAGTTTAAGATTGTTTAGGATATATTGAAGAGAAGTTAAGGGTTTCAGTTAATGACAGTAAGAAGTAAAAATAAATAAATTACATTTATTTTTATTTCCATGTGCCATCGTTTCGGTCTCACGCCTTCATCGGTGCTACTCGTTCGAAGGATATCGAACGAGTCAATGAAAATATTTCTAAATTTTCAATATATCATTGTCATATATTATGGTTATTTATCTAAATCATCAATATATTATCAATGTTCGCTATATGTTATTGAACACAGGTTCTTTTCGTGATCTTCCGAACTATGAACATGGGCATGGGAGGGCATGGGAATATGAGCATGGGATACAAGCTTTTTAGCCAGCATACGAACGTTCAGAAATCTTCTGTATCTTGTGTTTGATGTAGTAATGTCTCAATCGAAATACATGACGATCTTCGTTAGTGCGTCACATGAATGTTTCCTTCGAAGGACGAACTGGAAACGAGAAGACATCTCAAATATCCTCGAGTTAAGAGAAATATTCTCAATTAGAAGACTATTGACGACATACTGACACAATCGTTCTATGCCACTGGACAAACTGACATTAATACTGACATTAAATGGACCGAATACGGACATAGAGGAGAAGCGACTATTGGTATAATTGGCGGCTGTCAAAGGAGACAGGAAGGTAAGGATGGCACCCGGGCGGCCTTGGGCTAACGGGCGGTGAAGGGGTCCTTGCGGCTCCCGGATCCTCCCTCCTCTCTCACTCTCTTTCTCTCTCTATCGTCTTCTTCGGGGCGTCCTTCGTCGGCCAATAATGTCCGCTTTACTCTCCCTTCGTAGTGAATAATATTCCCATATAAGTAAGGTAATAAACAATCTGTCTGTAACAATAAAACAAAAAAAAAATAGTACCTTAATTAAGTAGAAGACCGATGATTTAGATACAACTCTATACCAGATAAATACGCGAAACTGACTAACCCTTGAGCGTTTACCTCTAAATAGGCAATTAGATATCCAGCGATGCAAATAGTAATAAGTAACTGGTTAAAATACCAAACCAAGTTCCATCCCAAACTCGACTTTCACGCCAGATAGCAAAAGGTACACTATGCATTGAAAAGTGAAATTTGCAATTTGCAGGTAGCGATATACATTTTAAAATACTTTACACGACATGAAATAGAAAAAAATATAACATTATAAATATGTCCGTGATAGAGAGGGAAAAGTACTTTAATATTATACTGAATAATGTTTGCTTAAAACCTAATTGTTTTCGAGATAAAAAATATATAATTTTTCTGTTTTTCTCCCATCCTTCCATCATCCCACCAAAACCCAATGTGAGACTCTTTGGGACTTTTTACCAGTTATTATAAGGGTAATGACAATTTCTGACAAGTTTCATCTTTATTTTTTTAATATTGAGTCAATCTTTAATTTTACTGGAATACACAGACCGTTTTAATAGTTTTCATGACAGACTGACTCGATATTCAAACCCACTTACTCAAGCTCTATCGACTGCCACAAATCCATTTAATCCGCTGAAGCGCTGGCCAAAAGACTTACTGCATTGAGCTGCTTGCTATTTATTATTATTCTTATTTTCACTATTATTCATATTTTAGCTTTTTATTTAATTTTTTTGTTTTTTTGTATTGTTCTGTTCTCTTGGGTATCATGTATATCTCTTTTTATCACATTTGCTCATACATAAGTAGCAAATCTGTCTTGACCAAAAATATGTATCATATAAATAAAAATAAATTTGTTTATTTTTTTTTTCAACGGGCGGATTTGCATTACAATCTACCGAATACTTGAATCGTTCCACATTCAGGAAGGGCATTTAGACCCGAGGACCTCGATGGACACACCCAAAAGTTACCTGAGTTGAATTTCTATTACAACTTCTTATTCTTCTCATTGCTCCTTTCAAGCTATCTCCAACCGTTCTAGATTCGTCCGTAATTTATTCCGACAATGGAATGAGATTTCATCCCGACTATGAATGTATATAATACAATTTATAAATAACGTTTGAACTATATATATATATATATATATATATATATATATATATATATATATATATATATATAACTTCATATATTCACCCATACATGTCATGAGTAATGATAATTAGCGAGTCTGCTATCAATAAGAGTACAGATTGTGGCTTAATCGGCGTGAGGGGTCATGAATGTTTTTGATTGAAAAGTTTATAGTTTTCGTAGGTGGGTCGTTTTGGTTATTCAATAAAATTAGAGTTTAGAACCATATGGGCTTAAGTAGGTAAATGTAAGTGTACATGTAAGATTAATATAAAATGTTAAGTTTGTGAAAAGCGTATTGGGGAAATATCGCATATAAAATTTTGCTAATCCTAATAAAATACTATCGATAAATCATCAACTCCGTTTTTATTTAATTAAAAAAAAATATATTTTCCCTGAAACTTCCGTTTTTAAATCAACGTCATTTCAGTAATTATATTTTGGATTGCAATGGTTTTATGAGTGATCATATAGTTTTATTGTCATCTTAAAAGGTAATTATTAATTATCGGGATGTACTTAAACGTTTTGTTATTTATTGTCCTTTCATTTCATTTATTGTCCTAAGGATAGAAGAGTATGCTGTTTATATAGCAACCCAATATAATTGGGCAGCAATCTTTTATATTTCCTGAAAATAAAGTGTTTCTCTCTTATTCATTTGATTACATTGATAACCGAGTATTGATAGATTTGATTTTAAATTCCAAAACTTTTTCAACTGAACATAAAAGAGAAAACAGCTTCGTTAATTTCAAAACAATTAGTTGATCACTTTAAACCATGAGGATTAAAGTATAAATATGATTGAGATTTGTGTCAAAAAATATTGTATTACTATTACTATCACTGGTAGCACCATTATTTTCAATATTTAATATTTTATTTTAATAAATTAAATAGTCAATTATTTTTAAATAAATAATTATCGTAATGATTAGTTATTACGGTACATAGGGCATACAAAAAATGTAATAATTGATTGTAACTATTTTTGAAGAGACATGATTCCACGGCATTTTTTTTGTTTTTACAAAACTGGAAACGAATCTTATAGACAAGGAGTTACCGACCATTTCATTTAACGGAAGGACTTAAATCTAGCTATCATTTTAAATCCTAGATAAACTATACATATTATACATAGGAAATTTATTGATATTTCAAATCGATTGTAATGAATTTCTTCAAAAATGCATATATTATTAGTTGTGGGTGAAAAACTGACGAAAACAGATATTTTTAATGAAATAAGCAAACAGGCAATATTGCATAACATCTCAGCCGTTGGGCATACATCTAAAAAATTTCCATAAAAATGATAGTAAATTTCATCTTCTTTTCCTTTGTGTGTAATAATAATGTCGATAAAATGCATAGTTTCGGAGTCATGTCCAAAATTTTTTTTTAAAAAATTCTGAAATTTCTCGGTTTCTTTTTGCATATATTTCGAAAAGCAATGGAAAATTTTGTTCGGGAACATACAATTGAGATTCATCATCCTAAAAAACATAAAAACCGAAGAGAAACTCACTATTTGAATTTTTTCTCACCCAACTGGTTTTTTTTCGGTGAATTTGGCGTCGTAAGTTTTCAAAACGCAACCGAGTATATCGTCAGTCAACGTGAATTCTCTTTTAGGGTCATATTCTTGACATCATATCAAAATTTTGGCCGTAAGTTCTTCCGTTAAATGAACAATCAAATTTCCCCTACTTAATTTAAATTTTCCCATAGAAAGTAACAGCTTTTAACCGACTGACCGAAGATGTGTGTTTAGATAAGGCTTGTCTAGAATTTAAATGATTACTAGCTTTCAGCTAGGTAGCTCCTAGTCTATCTGCTCATTCTGTTACAAACCTGGAAATATGGACGCCAATACTATCAAACAAGGACATTTTCACAAAAGTGGGGACTATTGTAGTCGATTGGAAAATTGGTAAAAAGAAAAGAATTTATTTGTATGCATTAGGAATTAAAATAATAGGATGTAGTAGGATTTAAAGGAATTTGACGAAGTTTATATGAATGAAAGTTGACTAATCCAAATGTGTTTGGTTCTAATAATTGATTACTGTTCTACAATTGGTAATTATCGAAAAAAAGAAATTTTTTAGTTATTTTTTCCTATTCAAAATTGGATTTATTAAAATAAAATAAGAAACTCCCTTTTGGAATTTCCTGCTTTTCTGAGTGGACCTGTAACGTGGTCTATGATAACAATTTGTTTGTAAATGAGGTGTGGAATCACCTCCTGGCTTAAGATCCTGTTTTTTTAAACCACTCATGAATTTCGTTTATATAAATTTGTTTTCGAATTTATCAAAGAATCCCGAGAGTTTTTATGTTATATTGTTATTTTGTTATTTAAAATATAGTCCTCGACTCCCTGGGAATCATTCACCACCACGTGCATGGCTAGCCTGAGAGTTTTAATTTATGAATTTATTTAATGAATAATTGAAAACAATAGAGATAAAGAGAGAGAAGTGAGAGAAAGGGAAACTAAATGTTTAAAAAAAAAAAAAAAAAAAGCATGAACAATGAAAGGAAGGAAAAGGAAAAAGGAAAAAAATAAAAAAATAAAATAATAAAAATGTATATATATATATATATATATATATATATATATATATATATATATATATATATATTACTAATATTAACTAATACTTCTGTATATTTATATATAAGTTCATATATTGTCCTAAGGATAGAAGAGTATGCTCTATATATAGCAACCCAATATAATTGGGCAGCAATCCTTTATATTTTACATTTTATGAAAATAAAGTGTTTCTCTCTGATAATTTTATTAAGTAAATACCAGAAATAAGTTAATCTTAACTATTTTAGGGTTGGGAAATTCCAACCACACAGCCTTTTGTCTCTTAACTATGCGAGAGTAAGCAATTGGAAGTCATAGAGTGAAGCTGGTTCTGTTTTATTTTATTTCCTTTCCTGACAATGTCTGAATTGGCGAAACGTTGAAAGGTTATTGTATTCTTTACCTACATTTTAGAGGCACAAAGATAGAATATAGAATCGATTTTCCGTTTCTTGGTGAGTTTTTAATCGTTTGCATCAGCGTATCTTAACATTAACAAAATAAATACATTTTTTAAATAGAACATGAAATATAATATTTTCTTATAAAATATAATAAACTACTAAAAAAGTTAATAATTACCCACAAAATAATCTCCTCCTCAAAAGCGAGTTGTATGCCTCCTTACTCAAGATAATTTATGGCTTTCTTAAAAACGAGGCCAATAAAAGTAAAAAATTATAAGATTTTTATTTATTATATTTCAAGTTTTTTTACTTTGTACCGAAAGAAATGGAAACTTCACAAAAATATGGTTCTCTCCAAAAATTCATAATGCAGTAAAAAGGTGCACCCCTAAACATTTTTAACTCAGTAAAAAGTACTCTCTCAAAAATGGCGCAACATGCGCTATGTGACCCCTATCTGGGCACCTCAAGTAATTATTAATCTATTAAAGACTACTCAATATTTCTCTCTTCTTCGGTGCATAATATTTATTTATGTTTATTTATAAATGTGGACATGACAAGAATAAAACATTTTATTATGAGTAGTCGCATGCAATTCGCATAATTGAAATGGACAGGTACACGATGGGTATTTATGTATATAAAAAATCTTTATGTTTTGAAATATGTAAAGTTTAGATATGACTGTAAATTGAAAAAGTTCTTTTATACTTGAAAATGGCTCGACGAGCCGAAACGTCGTTGTTGAGATGTTGTAGTCATTAAGTTGACAAAATTAATAATTGGCTGAAAATATATTAAAGACAGTATTTTTAATACACGTTTTTAGAAGAGTTACCTAGAAGCGCTATTATTATTATTATAGATTATTATATTATTATTATCATATATAATTTTTTGTAATGAATTGGAATAATATTTAATTTGTTCTTCTAAGACCCAGTTCGATATGACTAATGATTTTATTTTTTATTGAGTCGAATTTTCAGA